TTTCTAACAGGTTTAAATAAAACATATATTTATTTCTTTCTGTGAGCCAAACTGAACATTAACTGAAGCTAATGTTAATGCAGTTAATGTTAATGCTGAAAAATGCTGGTTGCTATGGCGATTCCCATCTCTTCTTTGGAGCAATACAAATATGTAGACCTCAAAAAAAAAAAAAAAAAAAGTTCTTCAGCCACATTTCTATTATGCAAATAAATTTGCTTAATGGAAACAGCAATTTAAAAAGTTTTTCAATAAAATGTAGGGTGAGGTGATTTTTCAGCTGTATGAAAGGTAGTGTATTTCAATGGAAACACTTTAATCACATCACATGAGTCGTATTCAACAACTGGATGTTACTACTGGCAAAAAACATGAAGAAGATAACAGGAAGTGCAAGGAGGATGATGTTAAACGACTTATTGCAGGAACAATGTTAATTTCCTAATTTGAAGTTTCTATTATTTAATTGAAACAATTGTTAAATCATCTATTTCAACAGTAACAGAAGATCACCAAAGTTTTGTGCACATTTGCAATGGAACCACAGCTATTGTGAGAATGTTCTAAATTGTGTCAAAGGAACTTCTCAAAAAACAAAAACACTGCTCTACATAAGCCCTCAAAAAAGTAGATCTTGACTGCTTCACATAGAGTTAAACATTTCAATCCTCCCTTTCTTGTAATTACGGCTGGATGATACCGAGAACATTTTAGAAAACTAGAAAAAAAGTTTTCTCTAAATTCTTTTCCAGAATGAAATTAGAAATGAAATCTTGATCCAGTTTGAGTTTCTCCAAACATATAAATTTGTTTTCCTTTCTCGCTTGCAGGGCTTTATGCATATAAAAGTTCCTGAGACAGTGGAATGACACACTGTTTTGACTTTGTAATAAATATTACAACAAACAGTGCACCTTTTCATGACCCGGCTCAGAATGCCACCGATCCTGTTGTCTCCCATCTGTGCCGCCGTCTGCAGGGAGGATCCCTTCAGCGAGGGGTCTGACAGTAATGAACTGTGACTCTGACAGGTGGCGATGAATGTAAATGAGGTGGAGGAGTAATGGCTTACATAGAGGTGAATGTCAGAGATACCGGGTCTAATTTTTATTGATTTTTATACTCTGTTAACTTCAGTAATGTTGGACATGATAGCAAACATTGCTAGTCAAGGAGAGATACTATCATACAACTTGTAGATGCAGAGTCACAAAAAATGCCCTTTGATGACTGGACTTGAGCAGCTCTAGTTTAGTTTTTGCCTTCACTTAATGTAGCCATAGTTGACTAAATGTGAAATGTTCAAAGCTTGGAATATTATTTGGTAATCTATCCCTGACCTCTCACCCCCTGCTGTTCCTTGATCTTCATTATGTTGTTTGCTCACTAATCTTCACAAATAAACCTGTGCAGCCTTCAGAGAACAGCTGGACTCATACAGAGATTAAGTTACACCCAGGAGGAACCTAAAAGGCAAATACTGACACTGGATTTTTAAAGATTCATATTAAATATTAGATCCCAATAAACGTTTACATCGCCAATATTTTTACAGTTTGTGAACAATAATGTTATAATATAGATAAAGGGTCTGAATAGTTTTTGCAGCACTGTATATTTAGAATTATTAAATTATATCAACAGTTTGATGTTTCTGACTTAAATGGTTTTAATCAGTTTATCTTGTGTTTTTGTTCTCGGGTTGTTTGAAACGTGCTTCATGAATAAACTTGATTTAATTTAATTATCCTCACTGCGGGCGTTTTAAGCTCCTTCACAAAACATCCTGCTGTGCAAAACAAAGAACATCACAGAAGAAACAAGGAATGATTAACTCAGCCCTTCCTCACCGCACTTAAAGGATTTCCTTACAACAAATGTATATCTTTTATGTCTTTGTGCTTTTATGTTTAGCAGATTTACAGTATCTGTGCTGAGTCCTGACAACTTGTTTGAAATGGTATTGAAAACAACAAACGTGATTCTGTGGACAGCCAGAAAAAAAAAAAAAAAAAAAAACATCACAGTGTTAACTTGACATCAGTCTAATAAAGAGCTGGGATTACATGATAAATTATAATCTGCCAACTTATTTATTCAACATTGGAACATAAATTATTTGAGTTTTTCTAGGAAACTGTATTGTGAATTTTTTGGGGGTTTGTTTTACTGGAAATACAAACATTTGACTGAAAGATATTTACAGCAAGATTTTAAAAATGAATATGGAGTCTGACATATAGAACATGTTAGAGATTAATTTATTAATGTCTTCAAAGTCAGGAGTTTACAGAAAGATTCCTGCTTCTTTAAACAACGTCTGATAGGTTAACTGATGCTTTTGAGATAATTGGAGGAATACCTGTGTCTTGAAACATGTCCAGATATATTGCAAGTCCAGATATCAACCTGATTGATCCTCGTTGCATTTTCTCTTCCTGTAATTTTAGCTTCTTCCTCTCATTAAACTGCAGCGAACAGCAGCAACATGATAACTCTCTAAACGAGCAAAGACATTTTCATGTAGTGCTCATGCTACCCTGTCTGTTTCTCATCTGATGAAACATTTTCTGGTTCAGCTAGTCCAGATGTCACAGTGACCTAGCGGATACACGGTGGCACTCACACTGGACCCTCGTGTGTCCAGTCGTCCTGGACCGCAACAAAACTCCATCACTTCCTCAACGGACCAGATGTTTAGAGAACTCTACGGTTACATATGTTGGGATTTATCTTTAGTTTCAGAAACTAATGTCCAGATGACATTAATCCAGCTAAGTTCAGCTTGCTAGGAAGATTTTCAGTCATAACCAGGAAAGTGTGAATCACAGTTGATCTTTTAAAAACAAAACATTTTGCTGAACCTGGCTCCCCTTGCATTTAACTTGATCCCAGTGAGCAGCTTTTTCCTTTTTGCTCCTTTTATGCTTCCCTGCTCTTTTTCCTGTTAATGCTCTCTTCGGTCTACTGCTGCACTATCCCATGTCCCTTCATGGGATGAAACACCAAGTTTTATTTTGGAAGAAAAAATTAAAAATGCACTTTTTTTGTTCAGTGACATCACATGATGTCAGATCAGGCTCTGGTGGATCAATTACAGATGTGTGGTTCTTTCATAGAAAAAGCTACTGTAGCTGTGATTACATCAATATTTTTTTATTCTATTTTATGTTCTTTTTTCATGTTCACTTGAGGTTGTTTTTAGCTTTTCTGACAAAGTTAATGTGCCAAATGGGAGATGGAAACATTTCCTGAATATGTTCTGGCATAGCAAAATAGTGGTTCCCTGCCTTACCAGGCGAGTCTAAAGACTCGGTCTATTTTTCTGAGGTGTGTGATCCAAGCTAATTTGCAACCTCTTCTTTCTGTTATTAAAGCCAAACGTTAATATTTGAAAAAATTACCTGGTTGATTCCAGTAGATGGAAACACACCTAATTTGCGTTCTCTTTTTTACTAAATTTTAAGGTTTGCTCAAAATGAAATGTTTCCATAGTCAGTCAGCTATTTTTGATGTTTGAATTATTGAAATAGGCAGTTATTAACATTGTGTCTCAAGTATTCACTGTGATTCCTAACACCTGTGAAGGCCTGATATAGTAGTTTTAATATTTTACCTGTGTAGAAAAAACAACAACAAAACACAATAGTATTAACTGTGTGCATTGACAGACAAATGCTGTTGTCTCTTCCAGATCTCTTAGGTCTTCTGGTTCTGGTTCTGCTCTGCATCTCCACAACCAGAACCAAACATGGAGAAGCAGCATTCAGCTTCTGTGCACCACAAATCTGGAACAAACTTCCAGAAAACTTAAATCAAGGCTAAAAACCCACCTGTGTAGCGCTTCCTTCGATGATCAGTTACATAATTATCATCTTCATGATTACGGTGATGGCAATTTCCAAAATATAATGTTTATCGCTGCCTCATAATTGGTTATTATATTATGTTTCTGGCGTAAAGCACCTTGAACTGCCTTGTTGCTGCAATGTGTTACAAATAAACTTGACTTGTATAATCACTCCTTCCTGGAGTGATATGTGCAACAGGTTGCTTAATAAAGCTCAGTGAAGATGCATCTAAATGTCTGCAGAGAAATAAACTATGCAGGTAGTTTAGAAGGAATAATTTGCTGCTGGAAATCTCCATTGACTTTGTGAAGTCACTGGATGGCTGTTCTGGCTGTGAACTCATTGCTTAGCAAATCCATCCACTTAGCATATCATCTATTCAGCTTCCCTCGTTGAATATCTGACCTCCTGAGGTCCCTGGCTGCATAAATTTCCCCCTCTTCCTCCAGATCCAGAAAATGGTAATTTCAGCAGCGGCTTGGTAATAACCCTCATGCTGAGCCTCACTGTCAAACAAATTTCATAATTTCCATTTAATTTAATGCTGAAATCTTGTGACACGGCCCTGCGAAACAGAGAAAGCTGACATTAAATCTGTCACCTCCTGCAGGCAGATTACGTTTCCCATAACACCGCGGGACCGTCTTTGTTGCAGCTTTAATTGTATGCAGATGCTTTGTTTGTGCCTCCTCACTGTTCCTGCTGCACCTCTCTCCGCTCACACAGGAAATCACTTGTCACGTCTCCATCGCTCGGAGGCTGTCCATTTAAAACAGCTCTGTCACTTCTTATCTCCCGTCATAAGCGCAAAACTCGTTTGTCTAAAGGACTACATGTCACCTCCTCTCCCCCAGAGTCCTGCTGGAAATATGAGCTCCTCGCAATCGCTGCTTAAATTTCCTCCCTCTGAGGAAAAGCTTTAAAAAATCCTCCTCTATCCACACTTTGCAGGTTGTCAAGTCAAACATGAGATCTGAGGCCTTCACTACGTTCTCCTTATGATGCTAATGCGAGCTTCGCTTTGCATTTAATCCACCGCGGTTTGATACATCCTCCAAAAAACCCCTGAAAACTAACATCCTGAAAATGTTTCGTCCAGCTGAAAAAAATCAGCATCTTTTTGGACTGGCGCTTCTGAAGGCCACTCACCCATCACTCGGAGTCTCTCTGCACCGACCACCACCTCCTGCTCATCAGCGGAAAACAGCAGCTTCCCGGAGGTGGATTTGACTTCAAACATCTTCCCTCGCGCTTTAAAACCGCTGGATCCTAAAGCGAACACAAACAGATAGAAGACATCAAAGAGGGGACTGGGTCCTCATCAGTTCCCTCTGGAAATAAAAAAGGGAATGGTGAAGTGTCCTTACTGACTTACTGTATTTACTCACCTGTGTCATTTTACAACACACAAAATTATTTGGTGCTCTGAAATTTTCATGTTCTTTCTCAAATTTTTGAGATTAATTTCAAAATTTCTGAGACACTCTGAGTTTTTATTACCTGTAAGTCGCAATCATAAAAAATTAGACAAAACACAGAGTAGAAATATTTCAGTCTAGGGAAAACCACAAAATCTTACCAAGTGCTTCTGGTCTGTTTGTAGTCCATATATGGTAAAAACAAGACAAAATTAACACTCAACTAACATTTTAGCAAAACATAGAAGCTTGGTTTAAGTCAACAATTCCTTAATACTAATTAAAAATTAGTATTAAAATATGTCTCATAAGGAACTAATACTTAAAAAAAATACTTTATAATCTTTTTTTATGATATTCCTTTTTTATTAGATGTACCTATTATGGATGCAAAGAGAAATGGTAGGACAATTCAAATCAATTTAAAGTCATATTATTCATTCTAAAAGGAATTTAAACATAACTAATGTCAGCCAAGTCTGCTAAAATATTGTAAAACTGATACAAGTACAAACAGAAAAAAATAAAACCTGCAGCTGTTGTGTTTTAGTCCTGTTGGCAAACTAGTCCAACTGTAGTGACTTCATCAGCTAAATTCTTATTTTCCACTTTATGCATTTAGGCCAAGAAAGCCTTCTATTATTGATGGAATAATGCCTTTTGTATTACTCCATCAATAAAAGACTCAGTAAATTTGTTTATGAATTGAGCAAAAAGTGGGTTAGAGAGGAATACAATGGCACTAAATGTTGGGGTTGCTCAACCAAAAAATGGTTTGATAAGAATTAAATTAATGTTCAGGAATGGCCAATTCAAAGTCTTGACCTCAATACAAGAGAAATGGCGTGGAAGGAGCTGAAGCAAGTCGTTCATGTGAGGAAATTGTCCAAGAGAAACTGTTGGTTTGTTCAAATGAGCAGGATGAAATTCAGCTGAGGGGTTGTACAGTTAATGGAAATGTTTGCATATATTGAGCCATAACAGGTTCGCATTATGAAATAAAAAGTGTTTGTGTGTTTAATTATCCTGGTAGTATCATAACAGCTGGTTCTCCCTGATAAATAAATACCTAAGCATTATGTCAAGTACTTCATCAGGCCCCTCTTAACGCATGGAAAATATTTTTCTTCTTAAGTGCATTTGAAGAAAATAATTTTCTTTTCATTTTTTATTTTTTTCATTTTTCTTTGTTTATTTAACTGACATTTTTTTGACTGTAATTTTACTAAAAAATGTTTCTCGGCAAATTTACTGAGAAAAAAAGGAGTGGGACAAAGTCTTTTGTAGTAAACTGCATAGGCTTGACAATACTGCTGATAACTGCTAGGGTCATTTTTTGTCTTACCTGCACCAGTAACATTGTTATATTTCTGTTTGTATTTATAATTATACTTATAGGTATTTTTTTTTCTTTTGTGTTCTCTGGGATCCAAGCAAAAATAATTTGTTTCCAAATTTACCATAAAGAAGCATGTCTAAGTCTACAATTATCATCAGTCACTGAGGCTAACTGTGCTGGTCACTGGTATGATGGGGCTAATTGGTTCTAATTAGAAAAATTGATTGAAGAACATTACTGTCCAACAAGCTAACTGCTGCACAAACGATATTTTGTGCAGAAGTTACAAAATGCTGCTGGTTAAATCAGTTGTTGAAAACCACTGCTAGATTTACTAATGGTAGACTAGTTGGTGGCAGTCAGTGCCAAGGTGCGAGCCCAGCAAGGTTTGCTAAGCAGCACTACTAGATTTTGAGACAGTTTATAATGGAAAATTAGCAAATCAACAGCATTCTATATAGAGTCAGTTATATGGTTTGTGTTTTAACATAAAACAATATGTAAAAATGATTAAAACGTAATCATTAAATCATTTCAAAAATTATTTTAGTTAATGCTTTTCTCCTAATCTTCAAATGTTAATAACTGGATTGCTATGATAACATAATCAAAAATTGCAGACATAATATTCTGACTTAATGATTGTCTGTGAAAATTTATAATAACATACCTAAAGATGTGTCAGGACAAACCTTCAGGAAATTTGAGAAAAAAATCCTCTGATGCAAGCAAACATACCTGAATGGTGTCATGACCAACAGAAAAAAAACAGGCGAATGCGTCCGACCTTATTTGCTTTGTGTAAGCTAGCGGCAGAAAACATTTGCCTTCCAGTGTGACTGACTGACAGAAGAGCGATTCATTGTGTCATTCTAAGTTCCTCCTCATAACATGAACACAGATTAGTCATCTGAAGGGAAAAAACACTGGGGCGAACTCGGGTGCGTCTCTTTCAGAGCCAGAAGCCAAATGTCAGTGCCCTTTTCTAATGTAAAAGAAACTTCCTGGGCTTGTTCACACAGAGTGAGCACCATTCATCCAATACCATCATCTCCTTTGGGTTGTGACAGGTGCAAAAATAAAGGAGAGACTGTGATTATGGTACAAGAAAAGAAACGGAGGCTACGCTCATGAAGGGCATATTTCTGAGGATTAACGAGATTTAAATGAACTGGAAATGATGAGCTAATATTACCCAGAATAACACATCTGCAACACAAAACTGCTCCAACTCCTGCTTGAATTGGCTTGAAAGATGTCAAACTCTTTGAAATGGCAATTTTGCAGTCAACCAATTTTAGAAGTGACCTCAAGTAAATTGAAAATTCTCAAATGAGTTTGAATTTGAGAAGGTCAAGTGGGCCAGACTCGTTCCAATGTGATGTGAGAGACTCATTGCCATTTATTGCAAATCTTTGACAGAAGTTGGTGCCACTAACAGTAGCACAATTAATTATGTTTATGGACTGATAATTTCTGCATAGAGTCATGTTTGAAAATAAAATTGTCATTTCAAATGTCATTTATATTTACTTGGTTTATGTTCATCTTATTTTGAAATATATTATGATGAATCAAATTTTTAGGTAGCATCAATAGGGACTGGATCTTATGGGAGTAATAAGATAATAAAAGTAAAGACACCAAGTGAAAAAAATAGAATTGAAAACCCCCCAAAAACCAGACAAACAAAACATACAGTCACTGACTGACATTAAGTTAATCAGATAGAATTTTGCTCTTTGAACTTAAAGTTCTTTTCTTCAAAGGATCCAATTAAATGTTCCATTTTCAGAAATCAAAATTTCTGTGTGCAATATGGGAGTAAATAATATACAGTTATTACTGTGAAGAGAGGTGAGATGGACAGGTGGGGTTTGGTGTATGTGTTGCTGAAATAAATGTTATCTGGCCTCTGAAACAACACATGAAAGACACATCAATGAGCTCCATATAAGCAGTAGGTGTGACTCCTGTTGAGTCCTACCTGTGACGAGCTGCGTGAGCAGCTGGTTGTTGCTGTTCACGATGTTGACCGAGACGTTTCTGGATGACTGTAGGAACAGCGGGCGGCCCTGCGGAGAGATCCACCACATCATTATTTAAACACTCAGCCTGGATCAAACAGCCAACAAACCCAGCTTTAGACATTAAGCTCCTTTTTTTTACAGGATATGTTGCATGTTGTTTATGTGCACACATTTTACGCATGCATATAGTGCTAGATGACAAAAGAGAATTCCTTTACTTGCCAAAAAAACAAAACAAAAAAAACCTTGCCAAACATAACTATGAACTAGTAGAACTAGAACAAGAAAGGGCCCAGGTTTGAAATGGGCCCTAATATTACCCAGAATAACACATCTGCAACACAAACCTTTTTTTGGCAGATTCTTATCTGCAGTTTTAACAAGCTGATGAGAAGCAGCAGTACTGCCCCCTGTGGACTTGGTGTGATACTTCCTCTTGGGTCTTTAAATTGCATTTTGGAGTTAAGGTTAATTCCAAACTGAGGCCTGCAGTTTTTGCCTTTGAGCCATCAGCTCATTAAACTACAACAGTTTCCCCAGAAAGAAGTGAATACAGTTACAAAAGTGCAACTTCAGAGTCAAAACCAGCCCTATATTCATCCTTCTGTTGGTTTTGACAACTTTCTTTTTCCCAGGGTACTTTGAGTGATCGTGAATGCTGACCACGTCAGACTCTCTCCGGTTATTCTTCATGCCTCAGTCAACTTCCTAATTAGAGATAATGGCCGGACCACTATGCTCCGCTCCCAGCACAACAAAGGATTGGCTGTGTGTGTGTGCGTGTATGTTTGTGTTAGTGATGACATTAAACTTATTGAAGTTTCAACAGAAAATACACATAACGTGTGATCCCCAAGTAATAACAAGAACAATGTGAGGAGTTCAGTATTGAGAACAAGAATCAACTGAGGAGCTGGAGTCATTTGAGGAGGTTTCATATTAAACTTTGATCATGCAGATACAGAGATGTGGTTTACTTAATGTGGGGCCTAAATGTTATTAAGCTTTTTGGCTAGACTCTAAAATAAAAGCACAACCTTGAATTCATGATCAATTTTCTATGATGGTCAAAATAATGTACTTTTACGCAAGTACTTTGGAGCCATTTTAGTAGTAGCCAAGCTAAGTGTTTATTTAGCCATTTAGTGTTTTTGCCAACAAAAGTTTTAGTGCACTTACATTCTCTTAAAATATTTTTTTCTGAAAAATTTCAGGTGCTACTTTACTTGGTTGTTTTGTAAACTGTCAGTTGAATGAAGTTCGACATTGGTGTTTAAGTGTTCGTTATCAACTGTTAAGAATTATTCAAGTAGTCAGATGTTTATTTTATAATCTTATTTTGTAGGTGTACAGCGATTCCGTTTCCTCTCTTCATGTTCTCTCTTATTTTGATGCAGCAAGGTTGATCACAAGCAAATTTCTGATGGATTCAACTTGTATTGAAAACTGACCTCTGGGATAGGGTTGTCAGAACACTAATATTTGAAAAAGAAAAATACTTGATAACATCTCCAATACAGTAGGAATATTTTCTTGAAGCTATTTTTTTTCTAACACAAACAGAAAACTATATATTTGTTGTCTTACTTAGAATAAAGCCAAAAAGTGCAATAATTTAGCTCTCATTAAAAAAAAAATGCTATTGAACATTGCATGTTTCTGTGACTCATATGTCCAGAATAATGCCAGAAGAAAAAAAAAAATTCTAACAAATATTTTGATCAGGTGAATAACCGAAAATCCACAATAAACTGAAACTTGTACACTTGGATCGTCTTTATGAAATCATTTCCGTTGTATGATCCATAATTATAGAAAAATAACAGTTCAGATTAATAATTTAATGTACATAATTAGATTTTTATGTCCATTATAGGTGGAGGTGAACTCCAACTTTATGAGTTGGTTTAGAATTAGCTTAAAACTAATGAGGTAGGAAGATTTGTAGAAAATCCAGTCAGACTGTGAGAAATAACTTTAAATTTGAACTTTCTCCATATTTGCTGCGTGGTCCTGAATAAAAAAGTTTTCACTATATTTCTCTCAGTTCTCTGCCTTACAGTGTGAAGCTCATTGTGCTGACAGCTCATTGCTCATTTGTTAGCTCTCATTACTCGTGGCTCTGCTCAGTTCAGGAAGAGAGCAGAAGCGTTCTTATATTTGTGACTTTTATTTCAATATCTTCCATTTCTAAAAGAGGAATACACACTGGGAACATTTCAGCCCTATTATTTCGTACTAAATCGCATCCATATAATATATTTCTAGTTTATCTACTCTAGGATAGGAACAATCATCTGTATTTAGGCTCAGTGTGCAGTACTTTTGTTTGTGGATGTTGCTGATAATACAGAGGACCTTATTACACCCAGCAAGACAGCTCCCATGCTGAAAGTCCGTAAATAGACAAGATAGTTGAATTAAAATAACCAAATAGAGTTGACAAAAAATCTCTGGAAGTAAATCTACTCCAGACACAGGAAACATCTATTTGCTTCAAATCATACTGCATCGTTTCACTGTGTGAATACATTTCTTTCAGCTGCTGTATGTTACTCTCCAGCCATAAATATGCTGAACAGTGGAGCTGATCCACAGTAAATGAAATTAAAATACTGCTAAAGCGAAGTTTGGCCTATTGCACTTAGAGCTGAAATCTAAACATGTTACACATGGAGACGCCTAAAATACCAGCAATTTGTACAGCAGTACGAAGGGAAAGCTACAAGTGACAGAATTCAATGTTTTAAGAAGGCACAAACTTTTTCAGGACAACTTTAAACATACACTTATCATGCTCATCTGTTAGTTAAAGTCCAGAACACACATCTAACTGAAAAACTGTGGAAACTCTTGAATTTTGATCAATATACATCCAGTCTGACTGAGTTTGAGAAATTTTGCAAAGAGGGATAAAAATACAACCTGGCTTCAATTTCCCCCTTGGTCATGAAGTTTATCAACAATACTCCAAAACAGAATACAAAACTCCAAGTAGATACTAAAATTGGGAAAACAACATTAGAGGTGGAATTGATCCAAAATATCAGTAATAGCAAAACCAGGTTCGTATCAATATCGGATTGATACCAGTGCGATACTTTAGGTTCAGATTCCATTTTGAAATTTTGTTTTATTTTTGTAGTATAGTTTCTCAACTCTCAAAATCCAAAATATTTTGTCTTGATCAGCCACTTTGTGCTTTATCATACTGAGCTGCCACAACTTTTCTGATGAGTCAGCAGTTTCTATTTTGATCTTGAGAAATGCATTTTTTCACTGATGTTGAATCTCTGATTAATTCTGGAAACCTTGTTTTTTTAAGCAGGTTTGTTTTCACATCAATAAATAATTAACTTTATGTAAATATATGTTAATTTAAAAAAAATAGATAATAGTCCTTCTGTTGATATATTTTGGCAAATGTTGGCTTTTTAATAGGTTTTCATTTCAGAATTGCATATATTCTAAAAAGTCATGAGTATTTGATATTGCTTAGAGTACTGATTGAGTCATGTCTTTACATTTTTGCTCACTAGCCTTTCTTGTTTCTATGTATGTTATCGGTTGTTATCAGTTATCTGCCATTGGAGTGAAAAAAGGATTGGTTATTGCTTTAGAAAAGAAGTTGTGTAAACTTTGTCCAAATTATGTCCGGGGTTTTAAAAAAATATTTAAAGGAAAACCCACAAAAACACCTAAAAGTCAAAAATTTGACATTACAGCAAACTTAAATAATAAGTATCGAAATCAGCAATATTATGCATTTATTTGGGATAGAATTGATACCAAAAGATGCAGTGTTGCATGCCTCTAGAGACCAGGACGTTTTGCCGAAGTTTCTCCTTTTGATTTTTTTCAACATGATTTAATCTTGAATTGACCATTTTACCTTGGTCATCATGTTGGATGTGGTCATTCAGCTCCTCTCAGCTCAGGTGTTTTGATTCTCTTCAACCTTTTTCATTTTCCTATTCTTAGCCCTGATTTTATATTCATCTCTCCTCTTAGTTTAATCGGAGCAGACATCATCTCCACTTCCAATACTCTTCTGGCAGCAATAAATATGTATATTTTATGAGGGGGACTAAAACAGTCTGCAGGCATCTTTAATGTACCTGCCAGCGAATGTTCTGTATTTATCACATGTTTATAGATATGCTCACATGTTGGCCTGAGCCAAATTAAGCCGCTTCAACAGGGTGCCAAATTGTGCACAGGGGAGATTATCCATGTTATCTGGATTCGCTTCCTGGAGAACTCCGGACTTAATTTCAATTTTGCTGCGAAGATGCATGATTTAGTTGCTCTGTCAAACCAGAGTCGCCTGCTTCCTGACTGTCTGGTTCTAATTCAGTCCTCCACCATCTGTCTCCCTGCTTCTGTCTCTATCACCATCTCTTCTTCTTCTCTATTGTTTCTTTACTCTCCTCTGCTCTCCCACCTCCATCAGTCATTCTCTCCCTTAGCTCACGTTAGCTCGTAGACAACAGAGATAAAGCGCGCCTCTCCTGCATTATTAAGCCCTCCGTCCGCTACCTGCACACAGAGATTATTACAGAAGAGACGGAGGGAGATTGTGCTTCTCTCTTTATCTGCCCCCATCTCTTCCAATTCCCTGGCATGTTCCTGCAGCTGCTGTGGGAACAACAGCAAGGAAAACCGAAAACAAAACAAAGACCCTAAACCCGCAAGCCAAAGCATTTTATTTTCATACACACCTGTAGAGGCTGACAGTGTACCTGAGGATGGAGCCGTATTGATCAGAGATTCATATCATGTGATATTCAACAGGAAATGTTGTGTCATGACCTCTGATGAAACGTGGTTGGACTGTGACACGGCTGGCCTGACTGAAAAATAGACCAGTCATAGTTATGAAGAAATCCAGCCATTTTACAGGCATGAGCCCATCTTAACCCCACTGTTTTTTCCCCTGTTTTCTCTATTTTTTTTATCCATTGTTACTTTTATTCCTTTTTCTATTTTCTCTCTTTTTTCTCTCCCCCTTTTTATCTTTTTCAAATTTTTCTTCTGACTTTTTTCCTTTTATCCCCTCTGCTTTTATTTTTTCCCCCTTTTCTTTTTTCCATTTTTTTCTGTTACTCCCTTTCCTTGCTTTTCCCCTTTCACATTTTTCCTTTTTTCTCTATTGTATTTTTTTCTCTTTTTTCACAATTTAAATTTGTTATTTTTTTCTTTTCCCAAATATTCTACCCCCAACCCCCCTTTCTGTTTTTTATTTCCTTTCATTAAAAAGGAATATAATGTTTTGATCACACCTTTAATGTTAAAATCATTAAAGAGCCTATTTCAAATTGGTAGAATCAGTGTAAATAAATCACAGTCCACTGGTTCAAAGCAGAATGTTTTTCTTTTCTTTTCATCACCTTTTCAATATGCTTTGGTCTAGTGTTACACAATATTCTTTGGTCAAAAATGTCCAGGTCTTTGGACTCTGCCAAATGCTGAATATTTGGCTTATAATTCATCCTTTTCTATAGGTTACCATGGATTAATGTAGACCTCTTAAAGAAGTCAGTGTAACAGTGGAAGGTGTAAGTTCTGTCTGGCATTCGTGTCTTAAAAACATAGAGGTTACTTACTGGACTGGACCGGATTTCTTTGGCATAGAGAGGTTGGAGGAACTCAGAGTCTCCCTCCAGTTTCAGGCCCTTTTCTGTTATTCTCAGGTTGCCCATGCCGTCCTGTCGGGAACAAGAAGCAGCTGTGCTTAGTTCAATTTTGAAAACATCTCTTAGGTAATAGCATTTTATATTTAACATAAATGGACAACTTCTACAGCAGTTGAACATAAAACCTGTTCTGGATGAACCCGCCGCCCATCTCCAGAAACTTCAGTTATTCCTTTTCTTTTTAAAAAAACACATTTATTTAAAAATCTTTAATTTTTGAATTTTGAAAAAGCATGCGTGGATAAAACAATTTTCCTCCAATTGTGTATTTCACACAATGAAGTGGGAAACCAGAATGATCGAGATCAAAATAAATGGGAAAAATGAAAATGTGATTCTCTAATTCTTAACCATACAGGCAGGCGAACCTTTATCAAAAACTATATATAAACATAAACTCTTTTTGACTGCTTTATTAATATGTTATTTACAACAATTTATGGGGGCAAGGTCTCGATCACACCTTTAATGTTAAAATCATTAAAGAGCCTATTTCAAATTGGTAGAATCAATGTAAATAAATCACTGGTTCAAAGCAGAATGTTTTGAACTTTAGTTGTATTTACTTTGTTGTTGATTGATTGATGTAATATCTGGATTTCAGCATTTAACATTTTTTACTTGATGCTCATCTATTTCATACATTTACTGTTGTACATGACACTAAATATAATAATTACTTTATTTAAAAAAATCAATGATAATTATAGTATTATAATCTTAACAAATTTAATACATTTAGTACTACTAATAATCTTCAAAAATAATATTTTATAATTATGACCTTTGTATTTTGTTACTAATTATAATATTAATAATAATGTTGTCAAAAAGCTACTACTAATAACAATGTCTCATCCATTTTTATAACTGGCATGCAAACAGGAATTATTGGGACGTTTTGCACCAGATTTTGCATGAGATTGTTGACAGTCAGATTTTGGCTCAGGAGCCGATAATGAGTCTCTGCCTCATACCAACCCTCACTCTCACTCATACGAAATGTTGATGACGTCTCCTGCATCTCGGCCCCCTGCATATCTTACTGTCAGATGTCAGGTGTCTTCAGACCCATCTCTCATCTGCATTCCAACCAAGTTACATCCAATTCTGTCACAGTTCATCCTGGGTGGTAAACTTATGATTCCAAAAATAACCAAAGCCTGTGGAATTGATTTCAAGCGCTCACTGAGCTTCACAGCAAAAAATAGCAGCTTAAATTCCTTCAAACTTTGTGTTTTTGATTATGTTCACGTCTCCAAATAGAAGCCTTTAAAGGACAATTTTTGTATTGTATGAACGAAAAAAACACCAAAAGGTTCTGCATGCTGTTTTTGGAAAATTACATTTTTCAAGCCCTCAGCAGGTGCTGAAATAATTTCATACATCTGCATAAACACCAGAGGAGGGGAATGAAGTGAGGAAGTTTATCCACTGAATTAGAGCATTGAACGTTTCAGCATTATCTGCAGGGAGTTCAAGTTCAAGGTAAATACTACTGACCCAGCAGTAATGATGAGGGAATACACAAAGAGCAGCCTTTTCATATAAAAGTTTAGATTTTGATATGTCATGATCCACTATATTGTTACAAAAATATCAAAACGTGTAATCAAAAGGATCCATCTTCCTGTTTTCATTCAGTCCTTTGACTCATCAGGTTCTTACTGAGGATTATCCAAAAACATAATCCTCCCCACACACAATATATTAAAATTTATGGTCTTTGGTCGCAGCAGAGCAAATGAATTAGTGAATTATTCCCAGTGGGGAATCACGAGACGTCTCATTGCTCTTCCTGCTTCTTAATTTTCCAAAAGTTTGATGATGACACCCAACAAGAAGCACATACAGATAAGTTATGTCACCCAAAAGAAGACTAGCTGGAGCAACACTTTCTGGCAGAACAGGCTGTAGCTTAACTTCATGGTTAAATAGGAAATACTAATAAAGAAATCTGCTCATTTTCAGAGTTTTAAGCCTTGGTGCAGCTATTCCAAGAACAGGTGTCATGACAAATCACAATAGATGTTCAGTGCTGACCTGAACATCTATTGTGGGGTGTCCAACCAAAACAAACAAAAAAAGTGATATTAAAATCATATTTTGTCATGTTTAAGTGGGTGGTGATGGAAGGACCCAAGTGCAACACTTTCTTGCAGGCAAGGAACAGTTTCTTGCACTTCTCTACCAAAAAATAAATAAATAAAAAAGGAAACTTGCATGGCGCTCAGGAAACAGAAAGACAAATGAAGTAATGAAAACAATAGGGAGAAATAACAGAAAATCCAGCTGTGAGTGAAAGAGAAAGACAAGCTTAACTTCTGAGAAAAAATGTGGAAACACTTTCTTGCAGGTGCAAGTGAGTGGATGCAGTTTGGGAAGGGAATAGGCAGAGGCAAAGAAGTGTTCATCCACTGCTGTCATTCCTAATGACTGTTTGTTTCCTTTACATTCTGAAGGTAGGTATGGAATAACACATTTGACCCTGTAGAGGGCAATACACTATGTTGTAATACATTATATGCCTTTTACAGATGGTAGGTATCAACAAGACTGAATCTAACGCTCCTGAAAAAGATCATGTTGGGATAGTAGCTTTGTGTTGGTGGAACTAATATCTTAATGTTAACACTTTCGATTACTCTAAACACCATTTTGGTGTAGCACTTTAGCATTGCCGGAGCTAGTGTTTATTATTAGCACTTTAGGGTTAGCAAGACTAACTTTTCAGTTGGAGGTGACCACCAATGCCAGCTTCCAACATAGATTCAGTGAGGAGAAAAAAAACTGAGGTCATACAGGTAAAGTTATAAGCTTGAACTTGGAATCAGCTGACTCAAAAGCCTCACAATAATGGTTTTTATTTATTTATTTATTTTTCCATAAAACCTGGATAAACAAAACTGGTAAATAATTGTGTTAAATACACCATATTGGGTCACTGCAGTGGTGCAGTACCCCATATGGAGGGCTTGGTCCTTGATGCGGCAATCACGGTTTAAGTCAAGCCTGATGGCTGTCGCCGCATGTTTTACCCTTCTCTCATTATTTTCCTATTTAATCACTCTCAAATATAGAGAATTGGTCAGGTTGATGTGACAAAGTATGGTTTAATAGTTTTGTTAATTGATGAAAACCCAGCATAATAATTAATCATGTCCATGTCCAATAATTCAATTTCTCTGCCTTCATAAAAAATGAGAGGAAATCTGTGTATTTAAAAAACATGTGCAAATATGTTGAACATTTGTACTGAACTTTTGGCAAAGTCAGCACATTAAGGACTTTGAAATATATGTTAGATGTTCATTTTTGTATTATTACACTTCTACTGACCCGCTACTGATGCAAGCTGTTTACTGTAGATTTCACAAAGTGAATTATTCCATTAGAAAAAAAGGAGCTTTGGTCAGGATAGAACATGAAGATGACAAGAAGAGCTCAAAAATCTGCTCAGATGCTGAATTTGCTGTATTCCTGCTTCCCTCCTGATCTTGCACCTTTTTTAGTTTGATCACTGCAGGCGGCCCATTAAGCTGAGCTGCCATGAATAATTGAAGGTAACTGTGACCAGCATGGATACTCTGAGGAAACTCCGCATCCATACGGTCACCTCAGAGTATCTATGCTGGTCTCCAGCTCCTACCACATACTATTAGTTCCTTAAAAAAAGCCTTGTGTCTTCATCACCTAAATGAAACTCACATGTGTTCTTCCCTTTCATAAATGAACATTTCTGAGACTGCTATGGGCAATTTTCCCTCTGTGAAGCATGAACATGTGCAAGCCATGAATAGGTCCTTCATAGTTCCCATGCTGGGACAATAAAGACCATCCATCTGTTTCTGCAGCTCTGAATCTGTTCCCCCCTCCATCTCTGGCCACACTGGGACTTTCTCAGCCGCATCCATACGCTCACAATTTTACAACGCGGACAGATTGCTTTTCATCATTACTCGTGCTTCAAAGTGTGTGGCCGTAGGTCTACACCATTTCAGCTCCAAGATGGCTCAATTTCACTTTGTGGAAAGTTTTGATAAATTAAAATGATGTATGTTTGGTGGTGATGAGGCTCACCTCCATGTGCTGGTGCCTCCCTCCAGTGGTATTTTAAGATGATATTTTATTACATTGCAAAAACACGAATCTCACCAAGCAGTTTTGGTCTATTCCAGGTGCCAAAGATCTTCATACACTTGAAATAAATGTTGTTGCAAAAGTAACAAGTTACCTTTTGCAAAGATGCAGGAGCTTGTTTTAATAAACAGTTTCTTAATAGTGTTTAAAAAGTACTAATTCCTTGTCTGCGCAGTTGGTGGTATTGTAACCTTGCAGCAAGATAGTCCTAGGTTCGATTCCCACCCCAGGATCTTTCTGCATGACGTTTGCATATTCTCCCTGTGCATGGTGGGTTCTCTCCAAGAACTCCGGCTTCCTCCGACAGTCCAAAAACATGATTGTGAGGTTAATTGGTTTCTCCAAATTATCCTGGCGTGTGTGTGTGTGTGTGGGTGCATGCGCATGGCTGTCTTTCTCTGTGTTGTCCTGCGGGAGACTGGCGACCTGTCCAAGGTGACCCCACCTGTCGCCTGAAAAGTTTGATGGAGGTAGGGGCCAGCACCCCTCCTGACCCCACTAAGGACAAGGGTGTTAGAAAGTGGATGAATGGATGGAAGTACTAATTCCACTGGCAGATTATTTCACTTGAATCGAGACATTTTCCTATGCTATAAGTAAAATAATTTGCCAGTGGAACAATACGTTTTTGACCAATATTAAGGAATGACTGACTTAAAACAAAGTCCAATTTCTTGCTGAAAAGTCACTTGTGAGTTAGTTTTGCCTTATTTCAAGTATACAAAGACATTTACACTGGAAACTAGACCAAACATATTTGGAAGGATTTTGTGTTTTTGTTGTGTTTACATAGGAACACAGTAAAGACACAAAATCTTAACATGTATCTTGCTGAATGAACCTTAAAATGTATCCATAAGCCTGTCCATCCA